AGTATTTCAATGATGACGACAACACCGACGACTTCCTGTCCACCGAATTCAGTGACGAAAAGTTTGCGAAACACTTGAAAGGAACCGGTGTTCACGACTTGGAGGACGCGCGCCGTAACGTCAGGGATCTGCTGTCCATTCACGGGCCGCAGACACTGACCTCCGCGCGAGTGATCGCCAGAATACTTCAGGGAATTCCGAGTCCGCGCTTCCCGGCCGACGTGTGGGGCAAATGCCGGCGCTTCTGGAGGGCCGACATCACCGTTAACTTCAACGATCTGTTGAAGATTGCCAACGAAGAGCTCATTCGTCTGAAAACTATTTAAAAATGTATTTATATTTTCTCCTAATTAAAGGAAACGGTTTTTATTGTGTTTTTAATTTTTTTCATTATTTATTGCAATTATTGTGTCTTTGATTCTGTCATTAATTTCGGTGTAAATTATGTTTTCATTTCATTTTATACGGTATTAATAAAATATTAAATACAATGACATTTAAGTATTATCAAATTAATCTCCACTCCAATGCAATCTAATTCAAGTTTATTATCTAATTGTTAAAATTCAATACAAAGTTATATATAATTTAACTCTGTTATTTTATCGGTAACGATTAGTTACAATAATAAATTGTATATAACCATTATCAGTATTACAGTTAATATTCTTAACCATTCGTTTTGTTAACGTAAAATCAAATTACAAAACTACCTTATTTGCTAGTTACATAATAGCATTTTAACTTATCCTTGAAATCTAATATATAAAATACCGTACAATTCACAATATAATATATAATTTATATTGAATAACTATAGCCATTAACAAATAGTTTGTGTTTCTAAATAAATAAAACTACAGTATTATAGTAATATATTTTCAAAAGTGTGATTTATTAAAAACCACAAAAATGTCAACTTCTGAAACAACTAATAAAAAGTCTTTAAAAGATTTGACATCAATAGACGGCGTAGACTTCGGACAAATAGATCTGACGAGAGGCGAGACACCGGCGGATATTAAAGACAAATGTCTGCAGTTGTGTTCAGACTATTTGTCCGGTAATTGGAAACAACAAACTGTGGACACCATAGAAGTGAGGAGAATATCCGGAGGTCTGACTAATCAGATATATTACTGCGGGATCACTAGTCCGTCAAAGGAGTCGGTAGGTGTGCCTCAAGAAGTGGCTGTAAGACTGTATGAAAGCCATCATTTTGATAAAGACAACAGTAGACTGTCTGATGTAGTCGTCGGACAATTGGTATCCGACAACAAATTGGGACCAAAAGTGTATGGATTTTTCGAAGGCGGACAGATTCAGGCCTATTATAAGGTAAGTGTAGTGTAAGTGTTGACTAAATATTAAAATTGATTATATATTTGGAAACAAAGCACAGAATATTCAGTGTCGAGGAGCAAAAGAATCCAAAACTGGTGACAGAGTTGTTCAAGAAATTGGCACAAATACACGCCATGGATGTACCACTTGAGAGGACTATTCATACCAGAGATCTAGACGTGTGGTATGAATCGGTACAAAGAAATTTCGAAAAGAATGACTATTTTAATGATTTAAATTTGGAGACATTGAAGAAATACGATATTAAAGTGGAAAAAGATTTTATTAAAGACTTAATCCAGAGATCCAAGAGTCCAATGGTTTTCATTCACCACGACTTCAGAAGCGCTAATATTATGGTATTGGAGGACAACAGCAAAAGTAGTAATTTATCGGATGGACAGATAGTATTGTGTGATTTCGATGAATCTAATTATGGATATCGGGGTCAAGATTTCGGATCACTTATCGTTGAGTGGAACAGAACTTTGAGTGACTTTCAGAAGTTACCAGTTTTTCCCGACGACTCGACACTATTACCACTCATTGATATTTACATCACAGAATCGGAACGAATATTTGGTGCACAATATTCTGACGATAAAATCAATTCAAGGGAACAGATCTTAAAAGAGGTCAAAATATTCACACTTTTGACGGCTTTGTTGATGACTCTGTTCTGTCTTAAGGATGAAAAGACGGGAACTTTCCTATCTATGGATAGAAATGTTATAGCGGTTAGTCATCTCATGTTTATAATGTAATTCAATTGATATATGAAAACTAAATTTTCATTTTATGTTTATATGATTAGCAAATCGCGGAAACTTCTCATAGAAATTATATTCACCTCAAGAGTCAATTGTCTGCTCAGAAGTTCTTCGATAATGTTTAATATTTTGTGAATACAATAAATACAATTTTAAAAGTTACATACTGTGCTATATTTATTGGTATAATATATTACTTGTATTCTTAATCAATTCAGTTTCAAATAAAATAACTTGTAATTTATTAGTAAACTTTATACCAACTTTTAATATGACATAAACTGTACCAGGCCTTTCAAGTGTTTATGAGACAATATTGACAGTAATTCATTTATGATTGTTATATGTTTTATTAGGCAACTATATATTGCACGCATTATTAAATAAATTAGCGATTCATAACTCATTGTTGTGTATGTGTAACGGAAAAAGTATATCAATTGAAGTCAAACTAAAAGATCTCAATTTCAAAATCCAACGGATAGTCAGGCAATCAGACAGTCAGCCAAACATTTGTTGCAACAGATATCAGAAGATATGTTTGACATCAATATGAATGAGTTGTTGGAAAAGTTGAGATATTTCTCACGACTCACGACAAGGTATCTGCAAAAACAAGAGGAGTCACAAGAAGGAGAGACATCACCAGAACCAGAAGTACTGCATCAGCGCCTGGATATCGTATCAGTGGACCAGAACCAGGACATCGCACCAGGAGACCAGCGCCAGGATATTGCACTGGAAGACAAGAAACCGGTCGAAGTTCTTACAGAAAGCGCAACAAACGGCTCACCGGCGCCGGCATTGACTGAAGAGGATGTCAAACGACTCAAAAAGAAGAAACAAAGGGAAGATTGGAGGAGAAGGAGTCGTGAGTATCGCAAGAGACAGAAACTGCAAGAAATGCAAGACTTCCGGAGATATCAAAGACTCCTAAAGGGAGGAAAGAGTCGCCAATCAAAGGGCAGTCCAAAAAAGAAAGACCGCCGAAGTCGTAGTCGGAGTCCACGATAGACATTATGAACACGACTTCCCATTGGATTCAAAGTTTTATCATATTTTTGCCGAAATGTCTCTTATTTTATGAATTGAGTGAAAAATATGAACAGAATTTTCAATAAATTATATCAATGTTTGTTGACTTCATTGACATTTATTTCTATGACTTTATTTTTTAAGATTCAAAATATTGTGAATATTTTGTAATAACAACTTTTTATCATTTTAATAACAAGTTTTAGGTTATATTTTATATAAAAAGTTACGTATAGTTTATAAAACAGAGGATTTAAATGATATAATAATGTCATAAAACTATCTAATGGTCTGAATTTTACTTAAGAAGCTCCGCGATCTGATCCGGAGTTAAGTCCGACCCCTGAACCACTTCCAACATTTCTCGAGGATCACCAAAATATACCATAAAAAGGCTCACTTTTGACATCTTATCCGTTATGATGAACACAAACGGGTGGTTCGCTCTGAACGTCACGGTCTTCGAGTCCTTCATTATCTTCATC